CTCCTCCCCCACTACACCTCCAACAGCAAGGGCAGTTCCTGCGGCGGGCGCCAAAAGATCCGCTTCGAATAAAGGCAAAGAACCGGCTGCCTCTGCAGGAAAGGTTCCTCACTTGTTGAAGAAGCCGGGCAACGACAGTAATGTCGCTGCACCTTCCAAAACCATCGCGGAGGCCACCGTGAGATACCTTAAGGTTGCCAAAGAGAGTGTGTGTTCGGTGAGTCTTGGCCTACACCTGCCAATATAACGGAGATATCTCCTAGTGACCTGCCCACCTACCTGGAAAGAACAGACGATGACCTAGGAGGACAACTCCTCGGGAGGATGTACAATGGGTCACATATGGCCTAAATGCTGTGGGTCTACACTCACCCTTCCTACTCTACAGATACAGAGAGATGCCAATTGTCCCATGTAAATCACCACAAGAAAATAGCAGGACTCAAATTTTGTCGCTAGATTTCCCAAAAAACTGGTTGATTATTATATTTGATATATACGACATTACATGAAAATTAAAAAATTGAAAATAACATTTCAAAACGCTCAAAGGTGCGGAGTCGTTTCCTCCTTTACATAAAAGAGGATGTATGCATCTCCACTCACAGGCGATTTCAGTGAAATTGGTGACACGTGTGAATCATTGTATTCGTGCCACGTGATGTATGCCGTATGCTGTGTAATGTCCGCTGTAAGTTGACCCACTGTGATTCGAAAGTGCATATAGATTATAACGACAAGGAGTCACAATGTCTGCTGCATAATTGCTCATATCTAATCCATCTAGAGGAAATTCTATGTCAACATTTAACTTGCCTCTAAATCTTTCCTTTAGAGTAAATTCAAGGGGCTCATCTCGTATCAGTAATACAGTCATATAAATTGAGGCGATTCGTTTCGTGTTAAAAAAAGAAGTTTCTCCCGCTTCTAGTGGTAGGTTTCTGAAAATGAGTTTGAATTTTTAGTCCCCAGATTTTTATGTGGAGTGCAAGAGCTACAGTTGGTAACGTAACATACTAAAGAGCCATGTATAAGTCTTCAGCTGTTTAGTGAAATTGGTTACAACTTTTCTAAAAAACCAGCATCGGGTCAATCAATGAAACATGAAAAAATTCAATGTGCAGTTCTAAAATTTCATATTCTTGTCGAAGCAGTCACAGGAGAATGAAAATTTTAGAAAACCAAGTTTGTTGCCACTTGTTTTCCAGTCGATAGTTGCCAAATCCTACAGAGTAGGAAAGCTAGAAGAAAAAAGATCCCTTTAAAAACGATTTTTCTCTGTTTGGGGCTTTGTTCGCGAGATGGAGCTAACACACTACTTCATTGTAGTTGAACGGCTTCAGTCTCAGTCGAAGGTTGCGTTATCAAGACAACATAGCATATTTTAATTTTCATATAATGAAATATGTCTGAAACAAATTATTTCTTAGATACAATAAACATATAACGATCAATATAAGTGGTATAATACCGACATATCCATTTCGGTTTCGTAATTGTTTTGGGTAATTCTACTATTTTACAAAAGTAGATTTTACTCTTTGTAGTGGATTTTTTAGTTGAACCTGTTATTCTAATTATTTTATTTCAACTGATCAGCTTCGAAACTAGATCAAAAGTAAAATTGCATACACATGAACATGAATACATGTTCATTCATTAAAAATATATGTAATAAGTTCGGCAATTTTCTGATACTACAAGGAGATCTTTTTTAACATGGGTCTCACTAGAGTGGAGGCCTCTTATTATTTTTATCACCGAAGATTTTATTTCTCTTCTACTCATGAGTACAAATTACAAATTACACATTGAAAAAAGTATTGCCAGTAAAATGTTCGATCAAATAAAAATTGATAGGGANAAAATATTCACCAAAATGGATTCAGATGAGAAAATGAGAAAACGACAAAATTTATACGTAATTTTGAATAGTAATAGAATGTAATAGAATAGTAATTTTGCATTGTCTGGCATAGGTATATTTTCTATTTTATTGATTAAGTCATATGAATTCCGTAAACTGAATTTCGTTTTAAATCAAAGAACAACTTGAAAAAGCTACTGTGCTAGCGAAATATGTTGTGATATATTTTTCAAATAAAGTTTGTGGAGATGTGTAGTTTTGAAATTACTATGAATCTTCATCAAGTAACGGCCGAATCAATCAGAAAAAAAAATTTATGGAGAAAAACGTAAAAGTTGCCGGCCCGTCAAAATTTGGATTTTTTTTTCTTCGTTGCAGGGGCCCGTCTCCTGTGGAGGTCCTCGGGCAGTAGCCACGCCTGTCCTTCCCTAAATACGGCTTTGCCTGCAAGTCATTTTCAACTTCACTTCAAAAATCCGAGAAAGTTACTGAAATAAAACTAGCGAGAATGTTTTTCTTTTTAAAAACAAAAAAATCATGTCCCTGTTGTTACTCCTAACGCACACATACCTGATATATGTATATTTTTCTAACATATAAACCTGATGTGTTTTTCTTTGCGAATTTGTGAATATTTCATTAGCGCATTTGCTTCCCTAGACCCTTACAAACAGCTTTAAATGAAATCGAGTTATTAACAAGTTTCAAGTCTACATAATGGCCATTCTTTCAATTTTCTCCAGAATACCTGAGAATTTGTGAACTTCGGCCAGGTATTCACCCTTATCTGTTTCGAAGATATCAAGTACTATTATTGTGTCTGAAGTAACTACGTGACTTCTGACCAAGCTTGCACTAATCCTCCAAACTTTTGATGACTGTAATGATCCCCTACAAGTAATTTGAGAACCCACGTGATTGCCAAATGTTCCATCATCAAATAGTTTTCTTGACCTGATCAGAAACGCTAATGGTTTTGAATGAATCTACCACAAAATACCATCCCCTAAAATAAAGTAATCCTTCGACGCCTCTGCCGGTTCGATGACATCATCCTGCAATCGTATCGCTACCATATCGGGATTTATTGAAATTGGCATTGTCACTCGACTCACATTGTCCCAGTCCGATAAGCAAAGGAAACCTCTTAGAATAAATAAACTGAACTTCTTCATTTGTGTCATACTCCCGGTGTCTTATTTTATCGGAATTGCATGTTAATGGCATTGTTAAACAAACAATGGTGATGTTTCAAACTCACTTGGCGTTAGTTGTTTATGAGTTCTTCGACGTACGTTTCTCGGACTTGACGCTACGTAGAAAAAGAAAAATGGTAATCGTCTGTCTTTTCGGTCTTCAGAGGGATCGAACACATTGACTTCATTGATAAGGATACCCGTATTCTCGATTTGCCTAGGTTATGCCAGTTTGTATTGTTTGTTCGAGTTAGAAAGTTTGAGTTTTGTCCCACGTCAACTGCGACATTCTGACAATTTTGAATAGATAATAGCGGCTACAGCAGAAGCGGTATTCCGAAATTTAGGGAACAACTCCGTCGAACTGAAAGTTTCTAAGAATGTGAATTTTACGTGTAATTTTTCGATTAGGTACCTCTTTCACATGTTTTATAGAAATGGTAAGTTGTTGGTAGTTTTTCTAATATCACATAGTAATACATTTCTAATATGTAATTTCACCGTTCATCACTCTATTCGCGCACTTTTCTGGATCGCTCAGATATGGATGCGATTTTAATAAAAACAATATAAAAGTCGTGAAATTTTCTCATGTGTAATAAAGAAATATCAATTATTCAATATCTGCAAAAAGTAACAAAATTAAAGGCTATTTTCGAAACTATATTATAAAATAAACATTTTTCGTAGCCTGATGCTTGTTGAAATAGCTTTTGTTTGCAATTGAATTCATCATTTCAGCATTCTTCGAGATGAATGAATCCAAGTTGTTGTGATCAAAGATGAGGTTCAGAAAGTTTTCAAAATTATCGGAATAATTTTGAAAACGCTGCACATGCCGATTTTAAAAAAAATGTGTGTATAGTTCAAAAACACTTCAAAAACACTTCACTAACTTTCTTCGAAAGCTTCTGATAATTTCTCTTCCATATTCTCTGTTTCACTATCACTGTCGTCATTTTAATCAATAATGAATTTATTTCCATCATTAATATGGAAGTGTCCAATCTCCATATATTCTTTTTCAACTAAAATTACTTTTTTATTCCTTTTCTGCCAGTCTTCTTCGGTAATATTAGATACTTCTTCATCAACTAGCTCTATTACCCTCTTATCAAATTTTGGAAAATCATTCTTACGCCTGATGCTTTCTTTCAATTTTCCCCAAATCAACTTGATGGGATTGAAAACACAAAAATTGGGTGTGTCCATACTTTTCAGCGATACTCTCAAGGGCATACACTTTTTCAAAGGTTTTTGTCTGTAAAACTTCAAGTAGTTGGTTTTTGGTATAGTTATCTTCAAAATACAAATTGTTATCCATTAAAAAAACTTTGTACTTCATCTTTCCTCGAATTTTTATTCGGTACATTGATGAGCTGATGAGTTTACAATCCATTCCTCAAAAATATCAGCTTCCATGTTCTTATGATAGTCAACATTACAGTCCTCAAGTTTTTTCCACATAATTTCAAAGTATTCGGAACCCATCCTTCACTTCCTCCGCAAGGCACAATGATTAGTCGCAATACTTTGTTTGCAGGCATGTTAGGCGTACACATTCTCGAACCATCAGTCCACCCTTTCGTAACTGTGTCGTGAGTGTCATACCAAGTTTCGTCTATATTTAGTTATTTATTATAAGTATCTGTTTCACTATTCTTCTGCTTTCCATAACTGCTTAACGTTTGTTTATTATTTTAAATCTAAATCCTAGTTTCTTTATCCAATTCTGAGGAATCGCATTGATTTTATAATTGTCGTATATTGTTTTTTTCAATGATTTTATTAGATGAACATCTAAAGGTTTTGGTAATCCCGTATCACATCGCGTCTTGCGTTCATAAGTTGTATTGTAGTTTGAAGCAATAGTTTTTCCAGAATTTGGAACTGAGTATGCGTGAAATAAAGTAAAATAATATTTTATATTTCCTCAGAGGTTCGACAAGAGGCTGTGCAACAAGCCCTGGCTCAGGCACTGCAAAATAGGCACAAACCTTCGATGCCCATGCCATCGAAGAGAACATCGGTAATGGCCAGGAGTCCGGAAAGGGATCATCACGATTCAGGTAAGTGAAAAAATATGTTTTTTTCGATTTTTCAATGCAAGTATTCTAATCCTCATTGGTACCCAAAGAAAAAAACAGTTTCTTTCGAGTAGCGGGGAGCGGTAGTGTATTTTTCCGTCTATGTCCCTTCATGTCATAGCCAAAATACTAAATACCATATTTGTTTCAATCCCTATGTAGGCATTGCATCTCTCAAAATTTCAATTTCCCACTTCAATTCTGAATTGAATTTTATTCAATTCTTCAAAAATACTACATGGGCTGAAGAGTCTCGGACCTAACACTCAGATGCATTCACCGCTTTTTCAATTAGTACTAATCTTAAAAAGAAAGCTGTTGAATTTCATGATATTCTACCCATAAGTGAGTTTTTGAATGGCTTGAAAAGTGTTATAAGGGCGCCGATCCATCAGAAACAACAATTTATGCTGATTTCAAACGTGGTCGTAGGGACACCGATATTGCAGACCGCAGTGAACGTCCTAATGAGGCAGTAACACCACAAAACATAAAAAATCCACAAAATCGTTTTGAATGATCGAAAGGTGAAGTTTTGTAAGTTAGTTGACATTATCAAGATACCAAAAAAACGTGTTGGCTTTGCAGGAAACGTTCTTTCGAAAAGCTGAAGAACCATACACAAAAACGATCCGACAAGCCATAGCATCGATGTTTGGCCAGCAAACCAGCAAACAATGGACGTACAAATGAGGCAGTAACACCAGAAAACATAAAATAATCCACAACATCGTTTTGAATGATCGAAAAGTGAAGTTGCGTTAGTTAGCTGACATTGTAAAGATATCAAAAGTATGTGTTGGTTTTATATTGCTTGAATTAGCATTTGACTATTGGTGCCGCGTGAGCTCACTTTTGACCAAAAACATGGACGTCTTGATGATTCTGAGCAGCATTTGGCCATATGTTTAAACATAAACCGAAATTTTTGCGTCAATATGTGGAAGTGGATAAAACATGGATCCATCACTTTACTCCAGAATCAAAACGATGGTCATCTGAGTGGAGAGCAACTGGTGAACCTCGTTCAAAGCGCCCGAAAGCACAACAATGGGCTGCAAAGATTATGGTCTGAGTATTTCGGGATGTGCGTGATGTGATATTCATGGACAATCTTGAGAAGGGAAATAACGTTATTGGAACGTTAAAAGGCCGAAATTGCGAAAAAACGACTCAATTTGAAGAAAAAAATGTGTTGTTTCATCAAGACAATCCACAGTCACAAGTCAATGAAAACGATGACAAAAGTGCATGGAATGGCCTTCGAATTGCCCCTGCATATACCATATTCGTCAGATTTGGCTCCCAGCCACTACTGGCTGTTCGCAGACCTCTAGAAAATGCTCACCAATAAGAACTTTCGCTCGAATGAAGAGGTCATTGCTGAAACTGACGCCTATTTTGAGGCAAAAGATGAATCGTGCTACAAAAGTGGTTAGGTTAGGTTAGGATAGTCAAGGTGCAAGATTCCCACCTTGATACCCGCGACAACCTTCCCATATGAGGGTATTTGCACGTCAGCTACACCTGACGATGCCTTAGATTCAACCATGCAGGGTTTTTTCGCCTCTGGTTTTGGTGAATCATCACTTGAACGCAAACGTTTGCTAACCTACTCATGTGCTCATGGGGGGTTTGTTCCTCTACCTGAGACAGATTCTGCGTACGCCGCTCAAGAATTTGGTGCAAGACGGTTTCATAAGGTACCCCGCTCTTGAGGGGACGACCCAGTCGTTTCCTGGCTGCACCGCCAAATTTTTTTTAGGTTCAGTTTTTGGATCAGGAGTTGGAGAGTTGAGAAGTTCTGATCTAAATTTACAGAGAGGTCAGTTGGAGTCGTGAGCTCGACATCCATCTCCTATGCAGGCGCGCTCCTGATCTAAATTTACAGGAGAGTCAGTTGGAGTCGTAAGCTCGACATCCATCTCCTCTGTAGACTCAGCGTCAGAAAGAATTTTTAAGTTTACTCTGTCCATAAAAGTCCTACGAGTAACTAGGGAAAGAATATCAATCACGGCAGAGCTCCGCATTACCGTTTCAAGGCGATGCTACGACAAGAGGGCGCCCGGTATCTCGTAGGTTCCAGAACCACAAGTGATTCTGTCATTCCCGTATCTAGCGGGGCTACGTGGAAGCAGGCATCCGATGGCCGGTTTGCTCAACCTTCACATCACAAGGCAATGCACTCGTCGAAAACAGCATGCACAGAGGTTCAGGCAGTGAAAGATGAACAAGGACAGCCAACCGCCTACAAAAGTGGTATTGAAATGTTAGAGCAGCGCTGGAATGATTGTTTGGCTCCTTATGAAGATTACGTTGATGAATAGAGCCAATTTCAAAAAAAAGCGTTTTCTCCTTAAGGCCCGGAACTTTTCAGCCCAAGTGTTATTTCTAGTTTTGTTAAATGATCATTCACGAGTCAAAACTCAATGAATCTTCAACACTTCAATTATGTATTATTCAAAGTTATACAAACCTTTATGTCAATATACAGGCTGATTCACGGTGGATGGCACATTAGACGTTTCTGGTGAACCAGACAACGGATCACTTTGAAAATTTAATGGAGGGCATATTCGGACATTCTCTAGCCAACAAAAATATTTTCGACAATGCGGTGTTGCCGCTTCTATTAGAAAGCAGTAGCAACTTTGATTTTTCAAATGGA